ATAAATGCGTGGATAAGCTTTTCAAGGTCCTTTAAAGGAAGGAACGGCTTTGCTTTGAAAATCTGACGCAACTGGTAAAAGTTGTTTTTTACCACAGTGGACACCTGTAACTTTAAAGTAACTTTAATTTAAAACACTTTTTAAATAATGACATTAATGGTAAAATGTTTATCAAGAACAATTTATTAATGAAAAGCAGGTATAACGTTGATAAACATTAGGAATCATATCAGTATTATTTGTGTGGTAGTTCCTCACAGTGACCACCGGAGGGCAGTGAACTCTTATTACAATCTATAGTCAACAGGACAAAAACACCACAGAGCAGTTTCTGTTCTACACACGTCTGTTCATCATCAAACACTCTGCATTAAAAGTATTTAATATGCTGTAAGCTAGAATATGATATCAAAAATAGTTTAATCACAAAGTAAATCAAACAAAAGAAGTTCAGATGATGATGTTTCTGGAGTAACTATCCCATCACCTGATCTGTAAAAGTGATGATGTCACAAAATCAGACAACGGATTAGAACAGAGCTCTTCTAGCAGGTTTTATCTGAATAATAACATCACATTTGTTCCTGTATTGATGTGATGATGAGAAGAAATGAGACCTGCTGAGGCCTCTGATACATTTATCAGCTATAGTAGGATAATGGCTCAAATATGCAGCTGCAACATGATTTGGTTTCAGTATATTAATATTTAATGATTTTAACTATTTTCATTTGTACTCTTAAGCTTCATTCATCTTTAATTTTTAAATTCACACTGATGTGTTCAAACCAAGAGCCTTGACAAACACCTTCTCAGCATCATCAGCGAGCTCGTTGAGGATCGATTTCAGAATTGTGTAGGTTGTGGCGAAAGAGAGACCCATTGCTAATGGGATTCCAACAATGGGAATAAATCTGGATACTTCCTCTGCTGCAATTAATGTAGCTGTGCGTCCCACTTGGGTCACAACCTTCATGAGGAGCTCTATAGTTATTTTTGCTGCAGCCAGTGGTGAAAGGATGACGGCACACAAATCAGCGTAGGGCACACCTGTTCTGTCAGACAGTCTCGCCAGAGACGGGACATCGAGACCAAACGCATGAACATAATGTGTGACAGCACCAGCCAGCACAGCAACATCAACAGCAATAGAAAGTCCAGGAACTGGAACAGCTGCTCCAAGTGCAGACAGAGTGGCCAACCAATATAATCGGCGCTTGAAAGATTTTTTCTTCTTGATGATGATCTCTGGGTTTATGTTGGGCATGACGAAGAGCAGAGTGTCCCTCTTGTTTGATGGAAGGTCTCTCTCTAAGGTCTGCTGTAACAGAGGGAAGTCATACAGGTGGAGCTCAAAGGTGGACACCAGGAAGACCTGCGGAGACTTGATGCCTAATCCGCTGAGTCCTGTTTCACAGAAGAAACACATGTCAACATTATATAAATCTATAAAGTGATCAAACTCAGCTCTAAGTGATCAGGAACTCACCTTGAACACAGTCTTCTCTGATCTTTGTAAGAGTCTCCTCTTCATTGAAGTCTTTCTTTCTTTTCTCATCACGTATGTTGTTGTCGATCTTTGTACGAACAAAGTAGAACTTTTTCTTCATCTTCTGAATCTCCTTTGCGAGTTTCACATCATTTTCTCTGAAGCGAGTGTCTGAGATGATGATGAAGAAGTCAAACTTCTGAAATCCAACAAGCTTCAGGTACTTCTTAGCTGGAAAGTTGGTGGTGCCGATTCCAGGAAGATCCCAAAAAGTAACATTGGGATAGTTTGGATGGGGGTACGGTGTGACCTCTGAGGTGGTTTCTGTAACACCAGTAGGAGCAGCTCCCTCCTCATCATCACATAGTTCCCTGAAGGCATTAACAAAGGTGGATTTCCCTGAGCCAGATTCTCCTGTGATGGCGATATTTAGTGGGATATTATTTTGTTGTTTTAAATTTTCTTGAATCTTTGCAGCTGCTGCAGCAGTGTCGTTGTTCTGCAGGGCTTCTTTAACTCCAGGAATGTCTTC